CCGATCACTTGATTCAGGATTGCTCGAGGAAAACGAAGAAGAAGAGCAGGCGGGGCAGGAGCCCGTTCCATAACAACGCTCAAGGCTGGCAAATGTTCGGTCATCGTGCTACCTGCAGGAGCGCTGGATCAGGAACGATCGGGCTTTTCTGGCCACGGCGAGCCTCAATCACGAGTGCGTTCTAAGGCCGAAACTTCAGGAACTGCCAGAGCCCCTCCTCAGCCCAGCGCGGTCCTTTTTGTCAGCCTCTTGGCTTTTTGCTGACACGGGATAGGGCCATGAACGTGGCACTCCTCGGCAGGAAGAGCCCAGGAGCAGCGGAGTGATGGCGACGAGCAGGAAAGGCCCCAATCTGGCCCCTCGTTTGGCTCGCCTGCGATGGGGACGGACAGGGCGACGGAAATGGCAGAGGCCGCTGTTGGACAGGCAGCGTTGCTCCCAAATTGACAACGTCTACGGCGGCACCGGCAGCGACCCCGCCTCAACGTGGGCAAGACCTGCTGTCGGCCTTCGTCCCCATTCTTTTCGCCTCCGTCTCGGCCCTCCAGCACTGCGTGCACGCCGCAGATGACGAGGAGGGCTGGACGCAGACGCGAGGAGGCGCTCCTCGTAGTTGTTGATGACGGTCGGGCGGCAAGACACGCCGCCGCCGGCGAGGTTGATCGTGTTCGTGATCCTCCCACTCGACCAGTCAGCGTGCGGCCCAGCTCGGCCCATCGGATGTCCCCACCCCTGTGCTAGTACGCATGCGTATCTTGATAACCCGATGCGTCGCCACTAAATCCAGCACATCGGCAGCACTGGGCAGTCGGGCAGTCTACCCCGTGCTGTGATTTCTGTGCCGAGCGATCTGCAGACCCGACCCCGACAAGCCAGGCTAGTCCACCAACGACGGAAGGGTGACCCCCCGCGCTGCGGGGCCCTCCTCTTGGGCAATCCTGGTGCATTTTGGACCGCTCTGGGGGTTCTCCTCCTCTTCCTCCTCCTCCTCCTCCCCCATCTCCTCCTCTCCTCTCCTCCTCCTCCTCCTCCTCCTCCTCCTCCTCCTCCTCCTCCTCTGTGGCCGTCATGGCGCCCTCTTGGGCCGTCTTGGGGCTCTCTTGAAGTCCTCCTGGGCCCTCTTGGGGCTCCATTGGGGGTCATCATGTTGGCCCGTCGTTTTGGGCCACATTTCGGGGGCACTTGGGCCGCCTGGGTGTCCTCTGCAGGCCCCGAAGCTTGAGGTGGAGTAGAAGCAGGAAAAGGAGGATAGTGGAATATAGAGAGGATGAGATGGATAGGTGAATGAATGGATGACGGCGAAGAGGAGAGGGAGAACGGGGAGGAAGAGGAGCAGGATGAGAGGGAGAAGGGTGAAGATGAGACGGACGGAGGAGGAACGGACGGAGAAACGGTGAAAGGGAGGAGCAGTGGAAGGCACGCAGGGAAGCACATGAGGACGATGATGAGAGGACGGTGAGCGATTTCTCCCCCCCTGGGTAACGGCCGTTACCGGGGGGGGAGGGCGGGAGTGCAACGGTATGTAACAGCGGCCACGGCGTGCGCCCGCCAGGGTGCGCCCGCGCCATGGGCGCATCAAGCGCCTCTGCAACCGTCAGTGCCCAATGCCTGCGTGCAGCAAAGCGTCACTGGTGCACACATCGCAGTGCCTTCGTACACCCCAACAGCCGCGAGCACTGCAGCACCACGTCGCCCATGCACACCGCAGTGCCTGTGTATAGTTCAGCATCCGTTGTATAGAATGGGGTCCCAGTGATCGTAATAGGACTTCAAGGAAGCCAAATGGAAAATGGAGCGCCTCTGGATTCCACAGAACCCTGGATCCTATGGGTATATAGAGTTTGGAAAAGAATCGCTATGGAAAGCGGAGCGCCTCTGCACTCCACTGAGAAACCTTTGTTTGATTAAAGAATGCCTCTGGGAATTGGGGCGCCTCTGAATTCCACAACAATCAAACGTAATCTATACGCTTTGAAGGGAACCGTGTGGAAATTGGAGCGCTAGAGATTCTACACGCTCGCACCACAACGCCTCCGTACACCACAGCGCCTGCGTACACCACAGCAGCCGCGTGCAACGCAACGTCGGTGTACACAACCATGCCTGCGTGCACCCCAACGCTTGCGTACACCACCGCGCCTGTGCACACCGCAGCAGCCGTGCGCAACGCAGCGCTGGTGTGCACCACGCCGCCTGCGCGCACCACAGAGCCCGCGCGCACAGCAGCGCCCGCGGGAGAAGGCGCGGGGCCGCCCAGCCTTCAGTTTCTCCATGGCGCTGGGTCTACACTTGATGCATGCATTAAGGACGGGTGGTCAGCACGCAACACCCTTGGAAGCCGAAGCTGGGATTCGTTTTGCAAAAGCGTGCCACTGAAAGCGGCAAAGGAAAGGCCGCCGAGGCAAGAGCACAAGGATACCCTGGAGAAGGCGCGCGTCTTTATTAGACGCGTTGACTGTATCGCACTGCACACTGGCCAGACGGAAGACAGAGAGCCACCGCATGTTGCACATGCGGAAGACTGGTGGAACCAGCATGCGGTATCTGAGCCATCACCAGCTGCATTGGACGACGACGACGACGAAGACAACGACGACCACGACGACGACGACGACGACGACGACGACGACGACGACGACGACGACGACGACGACGACGACGACTGCGATCTCCACAACACGCTTGTGAGCACCAATGCGTGCCGTTCAGACCACGCCATGCCTGTGACCACAGCATCATACCTCAAGGGAGTCCACTCCCGGCATGTAGGGGGGGGGGGGGGGCAGGTCCCCCTCCCCGACGGCACGACCGTTAGCGTTACCCTGGGGGGGGGGGGGTTCGCCCGGGTAACGAGCGTTACGCCGGAGAGGAAAAAAAACGCTCGCCAAGAAAGGAGGAGAAGCAGGGAGCAGGAGAGAAGGGAGCCGAATGAGATGAGGCCAGCGGGAGGTGTGCAGTGCGGAGGGCACGGGCACTGGGCTCAAACCCAAGACACTCGCGCACTGGGGAAAGCTGCAACCGTCCGTTTCGTGAAGCATCTTCCATCTTCCGCTCTCTCAAGACGAAGCCAAGACGAGAATAGATTCGGGGGTGGATACATCGAGAATGTCCGAGATCCTGCGGCTCTGGAGGATGTCTCGGGCGCCGCGGCCTTCTCAGAGCGTTCCGGGACGCCCCGAGAGCGTTCTGGAACGCCCTGGAGCGGAATTCATTCTCGTTCTTGCCCTGGCCGATCCCTCCCGCGTGATCTCGCCAAGTCTCGGTCTGCCCTGTCCTGGCCTTCGGAGCCCCGAGGGTGGAAGGCGCCTCCTCCCCCGGGAGGGTTGCCGACGGCCCTGGGGTCCTGGAGGCCGAGCACGGCCAACGGCCGCCAGGACCACGTTCTCCCTCCAGGCCCCCTGCCCCTCCCCATGGCCTCCCTTGCCCGTGTGCTCTCCTCCGCGGGCACATCGCATGCGCAAGCGAGCGTGTGCCAGCGAGCGTGCAGACCGCCGATCTGCCTCCCCGCGCGCACGCCCATGGGCTGCCAGCAGCCTGCGGCTCCGGCTGACCCACCCCTCCGGTCGGGCATGGAGGCGAAGCGCTTCGCGCCGATCTGCTTGTCCTGGCGCGCGCGGGGCCGTTAGCGAGCCTGAGCGGGGGCCGCACATCTCCCAGTCCACCTCCTCCGCCGCCATCTCCACCACGGACTTCTCTACATCCTTCTCCTCCTCCTCCTCGTCCTCTTCCTGCTCCTCCTCCTCCTCCATCCCTCTTCCTGATAACTACGTTCTCCCTGTCGCACCCCGAGGCCAGTCGAAAGGGTGGGCCGAGCGTTTCGCTTGATCCTGAGGCTTGAAATTTACAACTGTTGCACGGATGGAGGATGGTCCGCTTTCACAATGTGGCTCGCGCCTGAGCGCCGTGCACGCTCGTCTTCAAAAAATTGATGGAGCTTCACGGACGGAGGGCGGCCTGCTTTCAAAATGTGGTTCTCTCCTTGGCGCCGCGCACATGTGTCTTGAAAGTGTGTGAGAGCTTCACGGACGGAAGACGGCTCCTTATCAAACTCACATTCTTGCCTAAGCGCAACGCGCAATCGGTTTCACAGATGCAAGAGCTTCACAGATGGAGGGCGGACTGCTTTCAGCATGTGTCTCTCGCCGTGGCGCCGCGCGCACTCGCCTCACATGTGTGCAAACCTGCCATTGATGGAAGGCAGATTCTTTTGAAAATGTGGCTCTCGCCGTAGCGCCGCGCACATTCGCGTTAAGAGTGTGTAACCGTTTCAAGGATTCTCATGGTGAACGTCCCAGGAATAGCGTGGTGACACGTCGGAATGTCTGGGCGCAACGGTCACGTTGTTTCGCAGCGTTCAAATCCGAGGATTGGTGTTCGGACACGATTCAGGATCGTCAAGACGCAACAGTCACGGTGATTCGCGGCGCTTAAATCCCAGGAATGGTGTCCTGGCACAGTTCGTGATGTTCAATCGGGTGTCTTCCAACGGGGGGAGGCCTATGAAGGAGCTTGGCGGAAGGGATTTTTTTTACAATATCATTGGTGCGCCTTGGGTTTATACAGGTCCTCCTCCTCCTCCTGCTACTCTTCCTCCTCCTCCTGCTACTCCTCAAGCTTCTCCTCCTGCTCCTCCTCCTGGCGAGCGGGAAACGGGTTCTGGAGGAACAAAGATGGTCCCCGACGCTTGCGTTCCTTTTTCGCGCCCCCTGGGGCTCGGACACCATTTCCTCTGGACCCCGCTCCTTCATGGTGGCCCACCCCTCCTCATGCGCACGGACAGCTGCGTCCTCACGCGGCCCGCGTGCACGGTGGGTCTTGCCGTCTCGGCGGTGAGACCGTTGTGCCCCGTGTGTTTACCGTTCGCTGGCCAAACCTGAATCGTAGGATCATGGCGTTCTTGAACGAAGGCAAGGAACCAAGCAGCCCGACTTGACGCAACAAAAATCAAAAAACACCTGGCGGGCGCCGGGGGCTAGGCGGGAAAAGAAGAAGGGCGGCAGAGTATAGAACAGACAGTAGGCGCCCGCCGGGTACATCAGGCTTGCACATACCTTAGCGCACCCTGAGGCCACGTTCTCCCTCTCCTCCTCTCCCCTCTGGCTTTCGGACCGAAGGCTGTGCTCGAGCCTGGTGGTCCGCGGAGGCCCCACCCAACGGGGCCCGCCCTGGCCGAGTCGAGTGCAGTTTTTTTTGATCTGCCGCGAATGGCGAGAGGAGCCTCCGACGCGATCCAGTCCGATCCTCCCTGGGGACCCTCTCGGGCAGTCCCGGGGCTCCCCGGGTCTGTATCGCGGGCCGTCTTGGGGTCCTCTTGCGGCCTCTCTTGGGCCGTCTTGGGCGTCCTCGCTGCCGAGAAGCCGAGGGTCCTCAAATTGGGCGAGGAACATCCGGATTCGAGTTTGTGGGGGCGGTGTAAGCTTTCTGTGCCAGCGCCGAGGGCTCCCGAGGCGCCCCGAGCGAACCCGAAGAGAGCCCCCATGGACCTTGTTGGGCCCATCTTGGGCCTTCTGGGGGCCATCTGTCGAGTCGGAGCTCGACTACAGAATTGATTTGACCCCCAAATGGGTTGTCCCCATCGAATCTAAGACAAGTGCGCAGAACTGTCGTAGCTTACTCGTAGATTCGACGAGAAGTTCAATTCGGGGGAAAGCACTTCTGTAGTCGATCTCTTACTGGACGGTTTCCCCCGGGGCCGTAGGCGACCCGAGGAGGTGAGGGCGTGGAGGGGGAGGGGGAAGGGGAGGGGGAGGGGGACGAGGAGGAGGCGGAGGAGGAGGGAGGAGGAGGAGGAAGGAGGAGGAGAAGGCGGAGGAGGAGGGGAGGAGGGAGGAGGAGGAAGAGGAGGAGGAGGAGAGGAGGAGGCGGAGGGAGGAGGAGGAGGAGGAGGAGCAGGAGGAGGAGGAGGAGGAGGAGCAGGAGGAGGAGGAGGCGAGAGGAGAGAGGAGAGGGAGTGAGGAGGAGGAGGAGGAGGAGGAGGAGGAGGAGGAGGGAGGAGGAGGAGGAGGAGGAGGAGGAGGAGGAGGAGAGGAGGAGGAGGAGGAGGAGGAGGAGGAGGAGGAGGAGGAGGAGGAGGGAGGAGGAGGAGGAGGAGGAGGAGAGAGGAGGACGGGTTCGCCAAAGCCCCTCGGGGAAACCCTCCATCTCCTTCTCGAATCCTAGAGATCTGCGGAGGCATCTCCTGAAGGCCGCCGCTGGCGCCCCCCTGGGCGGAGCCACGTGCGCAGAAACAAAAAGCGCTTCGCAGAAGCTCGCGCGCCGCCGCAGCAGCAGGCAGCGGCCCAAAGCAGAGGTTATACGATTTTTGATTCGCGGGTCGAGGGCGCACCTCTTCCAGTCGAAGCTAAGCGGGCCGCGCGAAGCTTGAATTATCAACGAGGGGGAAGAGGGAATGAGCGCAGCCTCAGGGAAGCAGAGGTCAAACAATCCACCCCCAGAGTAACCACCCCGACACGCGACGTCGTTTAGCAAACGCGCCCAAGGAAGGGATCAAACAGGGCAGGGCTGTTTCGTAAAAGCCCTAGGCCGTTTAGTAAACGCCAATTGTCGGGTCCGGGTGGTTTTCCCTCCCTTGACAAAGAGCGAGCCTTCGAGCGTGCCGCACACGCCCAAGATCTCGAAGTTTGCGATCGGCGACCAGCGAGGGGGGATGGGAATGAGACGGAGAGGACCTCCTCAGAAGGCGGCAGGTACTTCTCAAAAAGCCCTCGCGCCTTCTGGGAGAAGTCTTGCTGTTTGTCTTCGGGGGAGGCTTGCACCACTTCTCAGAAGGCCAGGGGGCTTCCGAGCCTTCTGAGAAGGCCTTCTCCATCTCGTTTCCCCCCTCGCTCGCCGCCGATGTGAGGATCTGAGCGTCGGTCCTGAAACTCTGCAGCATCGTCCCCCGGGAGGGAGGCTTCGGGCTGATGCGAGGCCCGCTTGCAACTGGTGCTCTGGAGCCTCCCGATCCTCGAACCTAGTCAGCCGAAAGACCGACACACGGCAAAAAAACACGCGATCCAGCGCCAGCCATACCGTCATGCCACAAGCGGTTTCCAACCTCAGCCATGCCACAACCATGCCGCATACAGTCGGGGCGTTGACCTAAGGAACCCTAAATAAGGAACGAGGCCCCTTTTTTCCACAAGTGAAACTTCGATTTCCTATCGAAAACATCAGGAAAACCTAAGGCAAGCTGTGAAACACTTAAGGAACGCGGAGCCCCTCCCCAACCAAAAGGGTTCCCTCTTCAGGGCCCCGACTGTACCACAAACGGTTTCCAACCTCAGCCATGCCACAACCATGCCGCACACGCTGTCCAGCACCGACCAATGCAAAAAGGGTCTCGCGCTTCCGAGAGCAGTCTGCGTCCCGCGATGTTTCTCTTCGTGGCGCACCGCCGTACCGAATGGCAGGCCTGCTTGGATAAGAACGGGGAGCGCCGAGTCTGTCCAATGGGCTCGTGGAGGGAAGGAAGAGAAAGGAGTGGCAAACCCGATCGGATGAGAACGGGCCCATGGAGGG